CTGGGAGGAGGGTAGAGAGAATAGTGCAACAATGAATGAGTGGAAGCCCAAAATCTCTGTAAATGTTTATGAAAATTAATAAAATATAATTATAGAAAAAAAAATCCAATTAAATGATATAAAACAATATATTTTTTAAAAAGCAGGGCATGCCAACCCAGTCATTTTTAACAGGCCCTAAACTATTGATTATCTGTCTGTAGGTTGACTGATTTAAGGAGAAATGCTGATTAGTCCACAGTTTACTGTTTTAGAAGCATAATTTCATCCATCTGACGGTCCTGATTCTCATGATAAATAAATTCACAATGTATTTGAAACAGTACTATTCCATCTTCTTCATTAAATAAATGTCACTGGACAATGGAAATGCAGGAAAGACAATAACCTGAAACAATCTGGTAAGGGCATTGTGATACAGGGGGGAAAGTGGGGAGTCTACAGGTGGGTTTGCATCCTAGCTCTTACACTGCCTAGCTACTATTCTCTTCAGAGAGTCATTTAACCTCTCTGGTCTCAACTGATTAAAGGGAGATAAAAATTATACCTTTAGAGGGTTGTTAAAAAATAGTTAAATCAAAGATACAGTGCTGAGGGCAGTATTTCCAACATAAATGCTTAAAGCTGTATGTATTAGATATGCAGGAAATAGCAAGCTTAGCTTTGAAAATTATATTCAGAGTCAAACAGGGATGCACATAAGGCAAAGGTTATTACAAGAAAATGTCATCTTTATTGTGGATAAAGTTAACTCCTGTTTTATTCTTGGGGGATTTGTTTTGTTTTTAATTGAGATTTTAATGAAAGTTTTTAGAGAATTTGGATTTCCATTCATTCATTATTGCACATTTTTCCCCTGTCCAGCTCTCCAGTTCACTTTTCTCTTAGAAAAAAAAATTCTTTTACTGTTGTACAATCCTCCCACGCCCCTCCACTTTACTACACAGCCCTTATTCTGGACTGTTGTCATGCAAACAATACCATTTGACTCAATAATTACACTACTGGGAATACACCTAAAGAAATCAGAACTGTCTCCAAAACAGATATATGCACACCTATGTTTTTGCTGCATTGTTCACCACAGCAAAGAGATGGAAACAACCCAAGTGCCCATCAACAAACAAATGGATAGAGAAGCTGTGGTATATTCATACAATGGAATACTAAGCAGCACTGAAAAACAAAGAATTCATGAAAAATTATACAAAATGGGTGACCCAAAATGGGAGGACATTATACTGAGTCACAGTATAATATATCTTGGTCACAGAAGGATAAAAACTGCCTAATGCCGCTGTTAAAACTCATGTTTTATTGTGTTCAATTTTCAATTTTTTGTATTTACTTTTGGATTTCATATATATACCTTGAATCCAAGATTCCATGGTCGAAAATCCTCAGTCTGATCAATTTCTAAGGGTTCCAGCAATGGCTCCCATACACCAAACATCTCATTGTAATAATGTACCTACAGAGAGAATGTTCATATTTTTAAGTGAGGTATACTGATATTTTCTAAAAATTATCTTCCATGTTTCACACAACCATTTCTAATCATTTATTCTTTCTTCTATATGAAAACGGCCTTATGTATCATTAAATTGCTTTTTATGCATATTTTCTTTAGTCTTGGAGTATTTTTTCTCTTTAGTGTGTTTTAACTCACCTACTTAACGTGACACTCCAAACTCATCATACACAACACAGTCCTCGGGAAACTCTCTTCTATGAATTTTCCCTTAACTTCCAGCTTAGGCTAAACATCAAACACCATGTTCACCTATTAACTGACCTTTCCCCATCTGTCTTTCTCCACAGACTGAAACTCCCTTGAAGGCAACTACTGTATCATCCAATGAATATTTATACAAAGGATTAACATTTCTTGGGATTCCTAGATCAAATCTGCTTCTAAAAAATTTGAAAATGTAGAAAGTAAGCACATTCATTTATAAGTCTATTATATATTACTCTGTATCAGCATGTAAAATTTAATATTAAATATTATAGCAGCTCATAAATGTTCATTTTTATTGTCATGTAGGAGATAGAATGTTGTACTATTTTCAAAAGACATAAAGTTAGTCATCTAAACCAAGATATTCTGGAGGAAGGGAGCTCTGATGACTTAGTGGGTAAGGAGTTGTGCTGCTAACCCAAAGGCAGGCAGTTCAAGTCTGCCTCTACAGGAGAAAGATGGGAAATCTCCTCTTGTGGGATTTACTGATTCTGAAAATCCACTGGAGGATCAGCTATGAGTTGTTTCCAACTTGACAGCACACAACAACAGCAGCTCTGGGGACAATTACATGGGGACAAATTCTAAAGTAAATTAAGTAATTTCAATTCAAACACCTCTCAAAATTATCTAAACTGAAAGACAGGGCAAATGAAAGAAAACTAGCATTAAGAAAGAAGAACAGTGTAAGAAAATGTTAAAAATCTTAGTGGACTTTCTGGATGGTAGGTGATCAAATGGTTGGTACTAGGCCATGATCCTGAAGGTAGGCAGTCCTGTGGAAGAAAGGCTTGACATCTGCTTCCATAAAGAGCACAACCAAGAAAACTCTAGAAAGCTGCCACAATCTGTAATTCATTCTCTTGTCATGAGTGGAAACTGACTAGAGAATGATGAGTTTAAGTTTTTTGGTGTAGTGGATTCTCACCACAGTATAAAGATTTTACAATATATAATATAAAGTATAGCCTTCTAAGTCTTCTATACATATATGTTCAGAAATCCAGTCTATTTTCTTTTAATAGAAAATGTGATAAATTCTAATTCTCCAAAAGTCTTAACTGAACGCATTGGCTATTAATAAACCACCTAAATGTTGACAGCATCCATTGGAATATAAACTTAATGAGAATATATATTCTAACAGAAGTGCTACAAAAGTAAAAACAACCATACTACTACTATCTTTTGTTGTTAGTCAATTCCAAACCCTGGTGAGGCCAAGCATGCACCGACTTGCTCGAGAAGCAGATTTTTTTGTGAAAAAAATCGAGAAGCAGTGTTTGTCTCTTAAGGCATCTTATAGCAAGTGAGAATTCTACTTACAATTTAAAGTTTATATATGCATATATAAAATGTGTGTAAATATATATATAATGATTCAAACAAATGAAAATTTATAAATTTTTTCCAAAAGACTTTTCTATTTGCAAAAAGTTTAAGTATCTAACATTCCCAAAACAAGCCATCTGCATCACTATTTTTTGAAAAAAAAATAAAAAAAAAAAATGAAGAGATACTATATATGCTTACTTCTAGCTCAAGTTGACAATGAAGATTTATCAGGGAACTCCAGTTTTTGCCTTCCCCTGAAAAACTTGACTTTGCTAAAAGCATAGGCACTGTTCTATGACCAATTCCAGCTTCAAGAACTATAAAAATAGAATCAATGTTAATTTTTATCATCTCGCCTTTGAGTACCAATTCAGTTGTGGGAGCTATGTGTTCATTCTCATTTGGTTCTTCGAGGAACCACATTTTCAAATTCTTTGTATCCTTCATTTCCCACAACTGTGCTGCAGAAACAGTAGCTTCTTTTGGAACATCTTCCTTAGTTGTAGAAAGTGCTGCAGTTATGGTAATCAAGGTGTTTATGATAACTGGTGAAACCTATAGGGAAGAAATGAAACCAGTAAAAAACTTAAAGTCACTCTGAAGGATAGTAAGAAAATATTAAATATATTTACTAAAAGTTCATGAGAAATTACCACAAATTTTAATCTGTAAAATATATTCTTCCAGATATTAAAGTAATCAAGTATAATTTCAACTACACTACAGGAATGTTAGACACTGAGAAGAGCTGTCAAATATAAATAATTAATTGTAACATTAATTGGAGTGGCATCCACTTCAGAGACACAACATGTCTCTGATAAATGACAATAGCTATAGAAAGGCTTCAGGCTTTTTGTTCATAGGGTTGCTATGAGTTGTGCTCATGCTCGACTCAACAGCAATCAAAAACAATTCTAAAATTGTTTGAATTTATTTAACACTATCTCTGTGTTGTTGCTGTTCTTAGGCAAGAGGTAAGGGGAGAGAAGCTCAAGGCTGAGTGTCCTCTCAGCCTGCATTCCTCAAAGATTTATTTCAGAAGCTTTACAAGTGGAAAAACATGTTGACTAGAGTCACAAGGTAAGATGTTGCTTACTGTTTCTTATCTTATTTGCTGACTCTTCTTGCTTATAAGACCATATCGATCTTTTAAAATCTTTATTTATTTTGCTTATTTAACAATGAAAAGGCTTGCTATGATAAATTGCTTTAGTTTTACTAAGAATAAGAAAACTGAAAAAGCTGGGTTATTGTAGTTTAACTGACCTTTATTGTCAGAGATTTTACTGATATATCAATCACTTGTGGTTCTGTACCTATCTGAGTAGTTTGATAAAACAAGTCACAAGGCTGCAAAACCTGTAATATAGAGAAAAAAAACCCAGTATTATTAAATAAACATCATTCTTAAAATATTTGTATGTAAGTATTTTTTCCAGTAATGGTCAACTATGCTAAAGAAGTTACTAACGTAACAGCAGATGTCCTAAAAGTGAAACAATTACATACTTGTTCTCTAGATCCATTATTTACAATACATAAACCATTTTAACAACACTATTAGGAAAAGCATTATATAGCAAAGGATACAACATCAGTTTTCAATATGAGTAATATAAAAGTTGCATTGTTTATTGTTGAAGCAGGAATGGCATCCACTTACTAAACAAGATACCTCTGGAAACTCTATGAACTTTGATAAATGTCAACAGTTTAGAGGGGCTTCAGACCTCTTGTTCACAGGTCACTATGAGTCGTGCTAGACTCAAAGGCAATCAACAACAACATTGCTTATTATTTTACCTTTTTAGCAATTAATAAAATTTAATTACAGTATTTCTTCTATTTCAAAAGCCTAAGAGATTACTAGAGAGTACAACACAAGCAGCAAGTAGCTCAAAAGTAAATTACCAACAGTACAAATATGTCATGCTGAGAGAAAAAACCCACACAAATCCATAGCAACATTACCCAGTTAAGAGAATAAAAGTAATGATACTAAAACAACTAGTAAACTTATGGTAGAAAGCCTTACAGGCTATGGAAAAGTGTGAGACCGACAGCAAAAAAGAGACCGAGGAGGTCTTGAGTGGAAACGTTAAGTTGAAACCAACCTCTTAACGAGACTAAACATAGAGATACATAAGATATAAAACAAAGAACAACGGAGAGCATGAAGATGAGCTTCAAAGCGTATGTAATCATAATCTAGATTGTTGTTGTTATGTGCCGTCGAGTCGCTTGCGACTCAGGGTTTTTTAAAATTTTAAACTGTTTTGTATTAAAAATTCATATACATTTTGTTTTGTTTGTAAACACTGTTTCATACATCCATCTATTCACACTGTTTCATACTCTCATTCCCATAAGGTGTGTTTTATAAAATTATCATTAATTCATGCCCACCATTATCCCATCTTTTCTAGTCTCCATTGGTTTTAAAAGTAGAAAAAAGGTATTATATAAAGAAAGGTTAGAAAGTATGTGAGCTGTTTTAATTTCCTAAAGTTAGTAGAGTGAGCTATGGTGGCAGGTATAGTCTGCAGGCAACTGTGCTGCCAAACCAAAGGTTGTATCTCTCTTACAGTTTGAAGACAGGCTCTTATGCAATCCTCTTATGAAATTTACAGTCTCTGAAAACTCACTACTAGAAAGTCAGCTATGAGTCAGCTCCAGCTCTACAGCAATCAGAATGTGACAAAGTGGTAGGTATGCTCTCAAAGCTAAAAAAAAAAAGGTATCATTAAGCAAATAATGGAAACTAAACTCACAGTAGTGATGTTCCCTTTTCTCTTGTCAAGAAGAAATGGGCATGCTCTCACTTGGAGATCTTTAATAGCAGCAGTCATCTTATTGTTTTCAAGGTCACCTTTCCAACAAACTTCACACTGTGTCGTAAGTACTAAGGCCGGGGCATCATTTCTTGTCATGTCAGCCACAAACACAATTTCAGGATTTTTAATTAGCATGTTAATTTCCCATTTCCCTGATTCTTCTACAGGAACTAATATGTAAATGAAAATAATGTTTTAAAATACAAATAATTATCTGCTGATCATTGCTTATAAATAATTAAAAACATGAGAAAATGTATTCACACTAAGCAAAGTAAAAGCTTTTTTTTTTTAGTAAAAGAATTCTAAAGTCCAAAGTAGATCAGTTGAAACTCTTTTAATAAAGATCTGAAGACTCTCTAGCTAAACAGTGTAGGAAAAATAGCTGCACTATTTAAAGACAATATAATCCAGTTTCTAGCTTTGCACTTTATTTTCTTCTGTACCATAAGAAATGACATTAAGTAAAAAGAGTATTAGGTATGTTAACACAAAAATACAAGAAAAATTAAATGAGGATTTTAAATGAAGATGCTATTTTGGATTATGAAACTAATAAGGATAGTGTCATCATTTTCTATTTGTGTTCTTTCACCAAAAAATTCACTCAAATTACTGCCTGCAGAATGATACAATTAATCATTTTCATGTAGATCTCATTATTTTTTAACTCAACAAATATTCAAATGTTTAAAAAAACAGCACATCTCAGAAAACCTTTAGCTTTTTATTTAACTATAAAAATAAGTCTTTTTATTTCACAATGTACTTGTCCTAATCACCAAAAGGCTCAGGAAAGCAAGCAATAATCTAGAGCCTGAATGGTAATAAACAGTAACTAACTCACTCTGCTCCTTAGAAGACTGAGCTTGAATACTCTTTTCTACAGCACTGCCTGTGCTGTAGGCCTCCAAAAAGACATTGAAAACTGTCATTAAAAACTCCACACTTGCACAAATGTACATTTCTTGAAGAACAACATCTGTCACCCAACCATCTCTGACACGCTTGTATCGGACATCCATCATGTCTTTTTTGTCAAACCCAACTGTTAGTCCTATCATTCTGAAAAACAAAGAAACAATTCTTACGTGAGTCACTTAACCAAACACAAATAACTGTTAATGAGAACAGCAAATAATTTTATAAAGTGCTCTAAATAAGGGACTGATAAATCTATAATCTTCAAGAGAATGACAGTTTCATAAATCAGAAAGAATCTTTAAGAAATTATCAGATTTTTTAAATGCATGCATTTTTCTTTTACTTTGTTGACATTTTTATTAAAATTTGCATGAGCAAACAACAAGTTATATCAGAGAATGAAAACATTGTCAAATAAATTTTAAAGGGGCTCCAATCTCTCACATCCTCTCCAACATATATTGTTTGCTGTCTTGTTAAACTTTGCCAGTGTTATTGGAGTGAGGTGGTATTCCAATGCAGTTTTGATTTGCATCCCTCTTACTGCCAGTGATTTTCAGTATTTCTTCATGTATCTGTTGGTCACCTGAATGTCTTCTTCTACGAAGTCTTTTGCCCATTTTTGTTTTTTTGTGGAGGCCCTGTGGTATTCTGTAAACTTTCTGTATGAGACCCTTAGCTGTAATGGTATTGCCTGTGATGATATCACCAAATGTTTTTCTCAGTCAGTAGGTTTTCTTTTCAACCTACTAGAAAAAGTTTTTGATAAGCACAAGGATAACCACTTTGAAGGCAGTTTGGTAATACCTCAAAAAGCTGAATATAGAAATTCTACATGATCCACCACTGTTAGAATATATCCTGAGGAAAACAGAACTAAGATACAGAGAGATTTATACAAAGATGTTCATAGCAGCATTATTCACAACAGCAAGAACAGAGAAATAGCTTAAATGTCCATTCACAAACAAGAATAGGTTGAGAATTTGTGGTATACATAATGGACTACTATGCAGCATTCAGGACCGAACAATTCTGAAAAATGCTATATAACATAGGTGAGGCTAGTCAACATTAAGCTGTGTGAACTCAGTCTCATAAGGACAAATACTGCATAAGACTTGTTAGGTGCCACTGAGTTCAGTAGAACTCAATGAACAACACTATGAACAACAGATCTGAATTCTGTTCTATCCTGCAGCATCCTCACATGTCCTGACACGCAAGAGCTCATTACAGCAGTCACCGTGTCAATCCACCTGGTTGAGAGTCTTTCCCTCCTTCACCAACCCTCTACCTTTGCTAGTGTCATGTCCTTACCCTTACTATCTTCTTAATTGTAAACCAAGCAGTGTTTCCCTACTCTGTGTGCACACAACAGCCTCCTGATCAAGATATAGGTTCCACATGAGCAAAATTAAGTGCTTGATAATAGTAACTGCATCATCAAGTCAAAAGTACACATCTTTGGCAATCAGAATACAGTGGGGGCTCTTTGGAAGAACAATGGGCAATCTCCTCCTATAACAATTAACAGCTTTGGAAACCAATGGAGGGTCCCCAGGGAGTTGGAACGGACTCGATGGCAGTGAATTATACAAAGCTTTAATTATACAAAGCATTTCTATATATTCAACTAATCTATGTACCATCCAGAAAGGAAAGCCAGAATGGAACCAAGTAATTTTAAATGCTAAGTGCCATTGCTCTGCTGAATTGAAGCGTGAAAAATCTAGAAATGTAACCAGAAAATTAAAATGAAATACACAGGTAAATGCTGTAAAGTAAAACAACAAATTCTCAAATAAAACCTAGGAATACTATTCTAATACATACCTAGGAGTTGCTTTCTTGACATGAGGCCTTTTATCATCCAAAATACAGTTTTTTAGTGAGAAAGAAGAAAATACAGAATCATCTGTACACATTTTTAAAGTGCTTATAATATTCTCCAACCTAAATTCAGCAAGTTGCAGAGAAGAATCACGAACATCTGTAAAGGAAGTCTATGCAAAAGGAAATCAACACAAAAATTTAATAAAACGTAGGTCCACATATCTTAAGCTATAAACTTCTATATAGTCTTTGCTTATATTATATAAAACATTACAATTCTTCCTCTTCAAATGGTTAACTAATAAAAGGTCTCCCAAAAACGAACTTTAAACTTAAAACAATCTCTATTTCAAGTCACTTAGCAGCATGACAGTAACTCATTTGAACAGGGAATGAATAAAATTTCTAACTCGTTTAAAGTAGAAAGGTCATGTGGTTTAGACAAAGAGTTGCTAACTCTACAGTGGCACCTTTCTCATGTCCCAGTGACTCCACTGGAGAAAGGCAATCTCCTTCCTTCCAGGCAATTTACAACTTCTAAAACCTGAAGGAGGGTCAGCCATGAGTGGGTTCTAATTCAACAGTAGGGTTTGAGCTTTTAAAGTAGAAAGCCTAACCATTTTTAGAGGAACAAACTCCAAACTACACATGTGGTTTTAATATCTTGGTAAACATTTCCTACAAAAGTATCTTCAAGTGAAAACATATCTTCTTCATCAACTTACCTGTTCAGGCCCCGGACTATATAATACCATGGTGAGATAGTCTGTCCGAAAACTCATATTTATCGTTGTCTTAACTTGTGAGGCATGTGAATGTATTTCTACCACAGCAGCTGTCACCACAGTTTTTCCTTGAAAAAAGTGAAATTTGCTGAATTAAAAAAAAAATTTAATAAAAGAGTACACATTAAATTAACTTCAAAGAGATTTATCAGTTAAAGATATAGCACAAAATTAATCCATAAAATTATAATTCTTTTAAAATTTAGATGCTGAACACTTATTTAGTCTGCTTTACATCATAACCTGAGAATATTAATCAAACACTTGATCTGTCAATTCCTCTTGGTCCTTCCATTTCAGCTTGACAATATTATTTTTGGCTACTGTTAGTCTGAGCACTTAAGATTTAGAAATCAGTCTTCAACTTGTAAAATAAAATCTGATTGGTAGAGCCCTCCTAAATTGCCAGGGCCAAAGGAACTCCCCCTGCCCCTACCCCCTTGTTGTTGGTCAGCAGGTCTCCTTTTGCTGATTGAGTCTTTCTCCTTTTATCTCCTGCGAGTAAAACACTATGACTGAAGCAAGACAGTGACTTCTGGTCATGCTACATTAATCTTATTTCAATAACAAAAATATCATAAATCTAATCTTCATTAAGATAACCAATAATACACATGATAAGGAGGATAATTACATATAACAAAATGGAGTCCAGACACAAAAATTATAACCAAGATGACACATAACTCCAGTCATTTGAGGTTCTATAAACCATATACACAAAGTCTCCAATCAATCTGTGAGGGTCACAAAAATTGTGCCTAGAAGGGTCATAATAAGTAATTCATTATATTACATCAAAATCTATGTTTGAATTTGCTTATTTTTACCTTTTCAAATGTCTTTTCTTATCTGAAATATCACCTACCCATTACATTCGGGGTTTTACTTGTTCTTCCTTTTCAAGCAGAGATTTAATCTTTGATTTTAAATACTTTTTCTTTTCTAATAAACTTTTAAGTCATAAGGTTGTAAATTTCTATATATGTGTTCTTTTCCTCTAGGTTTTCATATTTGATAGAGTATAGTTTTACATGTTCATTTCAGATAACAGATGTTGCCCTGGATGTGCTCACCAAGTTGTGCCAAGAAATCTGGAGAACAACCACTTGGCCAACTGACTGGAAGAGATCTATATTTGTTCCCATTCCAAAGAAAGGTGACCCAACTGAGTGTGGAAACTACAGAACAGTGTCATTGATTTCACATGCAAGCAAGATTCTGCTGAAGATCATCCAAAAACGATTAGAACAGCACATCAGCAGAGAACTGCCGGAAGTCCAGGCTGGGTTTAGAAGGGGTCGTGGTACTAGGGATATTGTTGCTGATGTTAGATGGATCTTGGCTGAAAGCAGAGAATACCAGAAGAATGTCTATCTGTGTTTCATTGACTATGCAAAGGCATTTGACTGTGTGGATGGATCATAACAAACTGTGGCTGACTCTGAGAAGAGTGGGAATCCCAGAACATTTAATTGTGCTAATGCGAAACCTATACTTGGACCAAGAGGCAGTAGTCAGAACAGAGTAGGGTAACACTGCATGGTTCAAAATAGGGAAGGGTGTACGCCAGGGATGCATCCTGTCTCCATACCTTTTCAACATGTATGCAGAGCAGATTATCCGAGAGGGTGGGCTCTATGAGGAGAATTGTGGCATCAGGATTGGTGGAAGGTCTATTAACAATCTCCGTTATGCAGATGACACAACCCTACTTGCTGAAACTGAGGAGGACCTCATGCACTTGCTGCGAAGGGTCAAGGACTGCAGCCTTCAGTATGGACTAAGGCTCAATGTCAAGAAGACAAAGATTCTCGCCACTGGACCAACTGGCAGCATCAGGATGGATGACGAAGAGATTGAGAGTGTTCACAGCTTCAGTTTGCTCGGCTCCACAGTCAACACTCTTGGCACCAGCAGTCAGGAAATCAAAAAGCTTATCGCGATGGGAAAGTCTGCTGTTAGGGACCTCTCTAAGGCACTCAGGAGCAACAGTGTCTCTCTGGAGACTAAGGTGCGCCTGATACAGGCCACGGTATTTGCAATCGCTTGTTATGCATCAGAGAGTTGGACAATGACTAGGGAGGACAGAAGGAGAGTGGATGCTTTTGAGCTGTGGTGCTGGAGAAGGGTACTGAATGTACCCTGGACTGCCAGGAAAACAAACAGATTCATCTTGGAGAGGATTAAACCAAGCTACTCCTTGGAGGCAAGGATTCTGGGGCTTCGTCTGACATAACTTTGGACATGTTGCCAGGAGGGACGGGTCCTTGGAGAGGGACATCATGCTTGGGAGGGTTGAGGGACAACACAGGAGGGGAAGACCCTCTATGAGATGGATTGATTCGGTGACTGGGGTAATCGGGATGGGTGTGTCAGAGGCGGTGCGGTTGGCGCAGGATAGAGCAGGGTTTAGGGCTGTTGTGCATAGGGTCGCTATGAGTCGGAAACGACTCGACGGCACATAACAACAACAACAACAACATAGTTTTACATAGAGTTTCATTATTATTCTTTTTATTTCAGTTGGTTCTATAGGGATGCTGCTCCTCTCATATCCTACTTTGATTATTTGTGTCTTATCTTTTTCTGGTTAGACTTCCCCAGTGATTCTTTGGAAGAACCAACTCTTGCTACCATTGATAGATTCTACTGTTTGTCTGTTTTCTATTGCATTTGTTCTACTTCAATTTTTATTATTTTTAAACAGCTTTCACTCTTTCTTCCCCTTTTGATGTGTTTTCTTATTACTATGTATTGACTTCTAAGTACTGCTTTTGCTGTATCCCAAAAGTTTTGGTAAGTTGTATTTTCACTCCCATCTGTTTCAAGCAACTTTTTTCTCTCTTCTGTTATCCACTCGTACTCAAGGATTTTGTTGAGCTTCCAGGTTCCTTCCTTTTCCTCCTTTACCCTCCTGTTGTTGGTTTTTAATTTTATATCATTGTAGTCTGAAAAAAAATGTTTCATAATATTTCATTGTTTTTTAATTTACTGAGGCTTGCTTTGTGATTTAAAATATGATCTATTCAGAAGGATGTTGTGTGCATTTGTTGTTGAGTCTTCCTCCAAATAAATGGGGAAATTTATGTTCTTCTATGTTCTCATTTCTTTTTCCTAAAATAACTTACTATTCTGGAAATGGGCTTTCTGAAGTGAAGACTATTCACTCTTAAACTTTGTTACATTTTCCATTTCTACTGTTCTGGACTTTTTCCATGTCCTAGGAGATTATATTAATCTTTTATTCCTACTGAGTTCTAATTTTAATTGTATACTAAACTGAGAGATTTGATTGTTTTAAGTCTTGGCAGATGGGGGCCAATTTTGTTTTCCAATAATTCTATTCTATTTTCAGATCCTTTTTCTTTTTGGAGGGAGTAGGGAAAGCAGGCAAGGTTGAATTTTCATATTATCTTCTGAGAATATGAACTACAGCTTTTATAATTTGAATTCTCTTTCAGTCTCTCAGGGTCTTCCTATTTCTTCAGAAAATATTGTTCTTTTTTGTTTTATTTCTTTCTCTCTTGGAAGGTTCTTCTCATCAATGAACTGACCCATAGCTGACTCTCTACCTGGTTTTCAGAGGCAGTAAACTGAGTTAATAGTCCATGTTTCTCCTAAAGAACAGCTGATGAATTCAAATCACACACATCTGCTTTGGCAGCACAATAAATACTAAGGCATTTTGTTACAATAGGACAATGAACTTCAAAGGTAAAATATTCAAAGAATGACAAAAACAATTCAGAGATGCTTAAATACAATCTTCTCATTATATATGTATATATGGAAGAAAAGGTCGATGGAATGAAGAGATAAAAGAAAGGAGGGGAAAATAAGAAAAAAAGAGAGAAAATGTAAGTTAAGTTTAAGATCATACCTCCTGAATGGTCTGAAGCATTAGTAACTCCATTAGTAGCAATACATTGGTCTTTTGTCACAGCAGGTGAGGAATAGTCACCTTCTTCATACCACAGATTGCCGTGTAATGTTTTGAAAATAGTTGTTATATCTTCTTGACTAAGGATAAACTGTGAAAAAGTAATTTTAAGACTGCTAATTCATAGTTAAAATTCCCGTATGAGAAAAATGAAAAGGTTGTGTCATTTTATTCTCTACAAACCTCATTTGTTTATTAAATTTTCTACTCATTTAATATGTATCTTTTTAAAATGACCATAACATCCTAGTACCTTGTAAATTCTGCAAATACTATAGCAAAGCCATGAATAATTTGAGTGTTCCCATTAATATAGTTATTTCAAACCTTTAAAATAAAGCGACATTAAGTAGCTGTCAAACTATATTTTTTTAGTTACTATGCACTTGAATTTAAAAATATATTGCTATGTTCATGGCAATCTATCTAGTTATAACTAATATAGTCTATCTGCATAATGAGAAATAGTTCACAATATGTTTTATTTAAATTTCATAAAAGTCCTGACTATAAAGAATCTAATTTTGACAATGACTAAGGATGACAGAAGAGTTGATGCCTTTGAGCTGTGGTGCTGGAGAAGAGTACTGAATATATCATGGACTACAACTAAGAGAACAAACAAGTTTGTGCTGGAGAGGGTGAAATCAGGCTGCTCTTTGGAGGCAAGGATTCTAAAGCTCTGACATACTATGGGCATGCCACCAGGAGGGACCAGTCCTTGGAGAGAGACATAATGCTTGGGAGGGTGGAGGGACAGTGCAAGAAAGACCCTCAATGAGACTAAGGTAGTGTGTCAGAGAAGATAAGATTAGCTCAGGATAGAGCAGGATTCAGAGCTGTTGTTTACAGGGTCACTCTGAGTGGTAGCTAACTTGACACCACACAACAACAATTCTGACTTTATAAAATAAAAATCTCAAGCTTAACTGGTTAAGTAACATGGTCTAACTAAAGAACTCAAAGAACAAACTTCAAATCCATCCATGTGTTGTTGATTCAGTAGAAAAATCAATAACACAAAGCCTGTCTTCATAACAATTATATAAAGCAGACCTACTAGTTTTACATATATATTTAATTAAGGTATACAGTTGTCATTTTTTTCCCCAAATAATTACTTACATTATAATTGTCATTCCCCAAAAAGGTAATTTAAATGACACAAAATTTAACTTTTATTTGTATCAAGCTACCTGTGATTAGATTTCAAAAGAAATCTAGCCTCTTAAAGTTAAATGTATGTGTATCTTACTCATATTTTTTACGTTTTTTGGGTTAGATCTGTTGACACTTTTCCAACCCAGCCCTGTACATATTCTCTTAGACATTAAAATCTGGAGATTTTCAGTTGATGTTAGCACATTTTAAGTTTTCAATTTACTTAGAAGTTGGAAATTTCCAAAATTACTATTTTCCCTGAAGGGTGGAAGGTCAGTGAAAGGAGAGGATGACACTCAACCAGGTGGACTGACACAGTGACTGATGGAATAGGCTTTTGTGTGTCAGGAAGTGTGAGGATGGTGCAGGATAGAACAGGGTTCAGATCTTTTGTTCACAGGGTTGCTATGAGTTGTGCTTGACTCAATGCCACCTAACAACAATATAATTTTTGTAGGTAGAAACAGAAAGGGAAACTGGGCTGAGGGATGTGAGAGGAGATTTGCTGATTTTTTGGTTTCCTAAAGAAAACTCTCAGACATAGCACATGTTGCTATCACTCAATAAACTGTGTAATGCTATCTGACAATCCAGCCCAGACATTCTTCGAACTTGCAAAGAGTATCATTAGAGATCTATGACCAATGTTCACCTACAGGGAAGTAAAACTATCCTTAAGGTGCTGACCCGCTTGCCATTTTTATCTTCGATCTCTTCACCTTCCAGGAGCCTCTCTTCCTTTACATACTGTCTTTCTGGCTAATTTTTATTCCCAATGTTTTTAATACCATAAAATTGCTGAGACCCTGGTTGTATAATGCATAACATGTTTGGCTGCTAACTGAAAGTTCAGTTCTACAATTCCATCATACTTATAACTGGAGAAGACAGGCCATCTTCTCTCCTCAGATTTATGGCCTTGGGAACACAATGGAGGGTCAGAATCAACTGGACAACCATGGGTATATGCTGATGACTCTTAAATTCCTATAGACAGCCTTGTTCTAGCTTGCTGTGTATCGCTGAGTCAGAACAAATTCATTGCTGACCTTCCAGTAGGTTTTCAGAAGCAGTAAGTCACAAGAGAGATTGCCCATCATCTGTGGAGCAGCTAGTGGATTCAAACTGCATACTTCAGGGTTGGCAGTGCAATTCCTTACCACTAAACATCCAGCTGTCCCAGCTTTATCTACTGAGTTCTATATAAACAGACAACTGAGGACTTAAATTATGTCTAACAGACATTTGAAATAAAACTAATTTAAATTCAAAACTAATTTTCCAACCTTGAAAATCTACTTCTTTCTAGGCCTTTTTTGTATCTTTGTGAATGATGAGATTCAAAACCACCACAGTCAATTTTCACTGTTTCCTTTTTTCACCTTCCCAACTCAGTTGCATATCCTGTTAATTTCTAAATTATATTCTTAATATGCCCATCTCTCTTGCCATAGCTCTATTCTAAACCACTCCTGTCTTTTATCTGCTCTAATGAAATGTCTTTCTAATTATCTTGTTGTTAGATGTTACTGAGTTGACCACGATCTATCGCAACTCTACAAATGGAAATCTTCCCTGATCTTGCACATCCACAAGCCCATCCCTGAAGTCACTATCTCAGTCCATATTCTTGAGGGCTGTCCTCTCCTTTGCTGACCCTCACCTTTTCTAAGAAAGATGCCCCTTGTAAAGACTGGCCCTCCTGATAATATACCCAAAATTATGTGAAATAAAGTCTCACAATCTTTGCTTCTTAGAAGATTCTGGCTTCACTCTTTCTAAGATAAATTTGTTTGTTCTTTCTCAAACTGAAGTATGATTCTTTTTTAAAACCTAAAAAGGTCTAATAAATTCTACAGAAAACCCTATTTAATACAGTTCCGTTCAAAAATATACAAAGTTGCTATAAGTCAGAATGAATTAGAAGGCAACCAATTTTTCCTCAGTTTCAAAGTGCTGTTGTTGATTGCCTTCAAGTTGAGCACAACTCATAGTGACCCTATGAACTAAAGGCCTGTAGCCTTTTTATAACTATCAATATTTCAACCTCATTCCCTTATCCTGTTTTATCACAATACTCTATATGTAACTTCCCTAGGATTCATCACTATTTATAAATATTTTAATTATGGCTCTGCTTACTTATTTAAGGAGTCCTGGTACTTTAGTGGATTATGCACTTATAAGCTAATACAAAGAGAAGTAGTTGAAATCCACCAGCTGCTTTGCAGGACAAAGATGAGAATCTGCTGCCATCAAGATTTACAGACTCACAGACAAAAATTTAAGTTCTACTCTGTCCTGCAGGGTTGTTCAATAGTTGGAATCAGTCAAATTCAGTGAATTTTTATTTGGTTTTAGCTCTGGTGACCTAATGGGTAGGTCAATCCAAAGACAAGCAGCTCAAATTAACTAGCTGCTTTTGGGGGGTGGGGGGGGGGGGAAGAAGAATGATCTCCTCTAGTGGGATTTGCAGTCTCTGAAAACCTGCTGGAGGGTCAATTATGCCTGAGTTGACCTGATGATCCGAGTTCCTTTAATGTCTGTTTTACCAGCCTTCCCACCCTACCAGTCCTACCACCAATACCAGTAACTTCTACACTAGACTAGTGAGCTCCATTACACCCCAGTTCCTCTGCCACTGTAGTTCAAGTATCTAGCACACAGCTTAACACATAGCAACTAGTTTGTTGAACAAATAAATTAATAAAATGGAGAACTTTAAAATTAATTCTAGGTTAGTAGTACTTCTAATTCTGACCAAGGTTATTAATAAACAACTTCTTCCTACAAAATGTCTTACGTTCCACGTGAAATTTTCAATATCAAGACAAAAAATGATAAGCATCCAGAAAGTTACCTCCATGGGTTTGAGATGAGCATTTATATTAAAACCAGGAACTTCCTGGTACCATTCCCAGGATAAATTTTGCTCAACAATCACCTCCAGATTTAATGGCAACAGTATATCCAGTTCGTCTCTGTATTCATCCTTAATATATTGAGACCTTTAGTTTAAAACAAAATTGTTTTTATTTGTTTCATAGAGACTGGCAGTGAGAAAAAAGGATTAACTTAAACTTAGCATTTTATAACAAAAATAGTAAACTTCTATAATCATGCATGTGTGAGTGTGTAAAAGAGGGGAGGGGAGAGAGAGAAAAAGAGCATGTCAGGCTATGTCCAGAAGGATGATAATAGGTGACTTTCTCCGAGCTGTGTTCCATATAATAGGCTAATTTTTAAAATAAAATTTAGCAATATATTAATACTGAAAAATTACATAATTAAACTTATAAAGTTATAATGTGAGAATTACCAAATCTATATTATATATTAAATCTGTATATAATCTAATATCATCAAATACATTTTAACTTACTGAGATATATATATAACAGAAAAGGACATCATCTTAACTTTATAAAAAACATATAGTTGAATCATAAAATATTTCCAATTTTGTGGATCAAAACAATTATAGATAATGTCATATTAAATTAATATATACTTGCATTCCTAAGAACTTAAAAAGATAAAACTGACTCTTCAGAAATGAATAAAGGAGTAATAAGCCACTGGATACAATCACAAAAGCTCTTTATTAAACCTTAATTTGACATTCTCCACAGCAGAAGACACATTTTAATTGACAGTCAATTAATAAACTTTGATACAAAGCCATCTTTGATTTTAGAAGTCATTTGCTCAAAAGAAATGTAGAGTCAACGGGGATATCAATGGAGGATTCATATCGCCCAATTTTATAAATTAACAATACAGTGACACCTTACTAGCACAAGACCCCATACTTACTATCAATACTTAATGGTAACAAGAAATTTAAAAGCCCTAAGAATTGAACAAGGTGATACTTTGAAATTATTCAAATTCAAGAAAGGACTGAATCCCTTCTCCATGTCTATCCATTCTGTATGATGAACAAATTTATGAAGCTAGAATACTTGAAGAATGTGGCATCAGGATTGGAGGAAAATTCCTCAAAAATCTATTTTATGCAGATAGCACAGCTCTGCTTGCAGAAAGTAAAGACTTAACACAGAGATAAAAATCCTCATAAATGGGCATATCAGGATACATGGAGAAAACAGTGAAGTTGTCAATGATTTCATTTTACTTGGGTCCATCAATACCAATGGTAGCAACAACAAAAAAAAATCCAAAGGTGTGTCACTCTGGGAAAATGTGCTGTCAAGGGCCTCTTTAACTTGGTAAAGAACAAGGAAGTAAGTTTAAAGACAATAGTGCACTTTCCTCAAGTCATGGGATTTCCACTTGCTTCCTATGCAAGGGAAAGATGGACGATGCATAAGGAAGACCAGAGAAAAAGTGATACCCTGAACTGTGGTGTTGGCAAAGAATACTGAATGTACCATAGAAAGACTGCCTGAAGAACAAGCAAATCTGTCTTGCAGGAAGTGAAACAACAGGGTTTCTTATGGACAAGGACAATCAAACTTTGTCTCACATACTTTGTTCATGTTGTCAAGAGGTGCACCAATCCTTAGTAAAACACATCATCCAGGGAAAAGTAAACAGCAACAAAGAGGAAGACCCTTAAAGGGATGGTATGGACTAACAGTGACGATGACAAAGGCTTGAGCATGGCAGGGTTCGAGGATGAAGGCTAAAACAATGTTCAGGGCCATTGTTCAGAGAGTCACTATGCATTGGAGACAACTCAATAGCACCTTAACAGCTACAAGTAACGTACACTGCAAAAATTCAACATAAGGGCTATGAATGCCATTCTATTAAAATGAAATAAAAGCAGAACGAGTGGATGTGACTTAGCTTACACAACACTGACAGAAAGCATCTCCCAACTCTCCAATGCCCACCAATAACAATCACAAAATTCCCCAGAACAATCTGTCATCTATTTATTCTTCCATATGAACTTTGCAATAATTTTAGCTGACCTAAGAAAAAAACTAGTTGTAATTTTTATTAATGGAACTGCATTAACTATTGAGTAAATAATAACTTGACATCTTTATAATATTAAGTCTAGGAAAATACTCTACATTAATTTCAAGCTTTATTTCTGAGCTTTGGTTAATTTTACAGCTTTGCTCCTGGAAACACTCAATTTTTTTTGTAGCTGCATTTAAGAGCTCTACAGGAAAAGTTGTTTAGCATAAAACAGCAACAATATAGTCAATTTGGGCTCACAATCAGCCTACTGGCCTGAGGAGAAATGCCTTATAGGATTTCCAAAACTCTAATGGTTACTGAGGGGAGCTCGAATGGCCTACGCCAAAGGGAACTGCACTGCTAATCCAAAACCCACACTTTCTCATGGTTCAAATCTACCAGTATCTCAGAGGGGAAAAAAAGCAACTTACCCCATCTTTTCCTCCACGGAGTGGTTATGGGGTTCAAACTGCCAACCTTCTATAGCAGAGTTCTTTAAACAATGCATTTCTATGATTTTGATATTTGCACTACTAATATGAAATAAACTTCCTTGTCTTTATGTGCATTTTGAGAAGTTGTAGGCAGAATGTTTTTATTGTTTCAAAAATATATCTTAAGCATCACAGCACAAGACATATGAGTTAGGCCAATGTTATGTTTATAAAGTGAATAAATGAAATTCTCCCATTTTTCCTACAACCTCATAATATATATAGAACTACCCAAAAAAATCACAAATTATTTTAAACAACAAATTTTGTCATTTTCCTAAGTTGCTGTTGTTATGTGCCATTGAGTCACCTGCTACTCATAGCAATTGTATGAACATTATCTCTGAACCATGCCCTATCAATAGCCAATCTCATTGGTTCCAACAGACCTAATCCTGTTTCTTCAGTCACTGTGTCTAGTTCATCTCATCTTAGGTATTCCTCTCCTGCATTGTTCCACCATCCTTTTAAGCATGAGGTCCTTTTAAGATGATGTCCATCCTTTTAAGCATGAGGTCCTTTTAAGATGATGTCCAAGGACATCATCTCCTGGCCATTTGCCAAAGTATGTAGGATGGAGCTTCAAAATCCTTGCCTCCAGGGAGCAGCCTGGTTTCACCTTCTCCAGGACAGACCTGTCTGTTCTTCTGGCAGTCCACGTTATATTCAATAATCTTGTCCAGCACCACAACTCAGAGGCATCAATCCTTCTATCATCTTTAGTTACTATCTAGCTCTCAGATGCATAGCAAGTAATTACAAAGACCACAGCCTGGATCAGGTGCGCCTTAGTCTCCAGACTGACATCACTGCTCTTCAGTACTCTAGAGAGGTCCTTGATAATAGACTTTTTTTAAGGCTTTATTTTAAT